GCTTATGACAGCTATCCTAACCACTCCCGAGACAGTGATTCGCATTCTGAAAATTTTTGCGCGTTCCGAAACCCATAAAAAAAAAAGTGTTGCAACCTTTTAGCTGCCGACTGTACATACATACATACTTAAAAATGAAATAGATGTATATGTATATTTGTGAAATTTGGTGAAAACGAGAAAGACAATTTTAATGCAGTCCAGTGCAGCAACAAAGAAAGAAAGAAGAAGAGAAAAAAGAAGAAGATAGATAAATACATACACATACATACATACACATACATGCCTATTCTCTTATTCACTGATCTCGTCTCGTGTCGTGCCGTATCGGTAGGGACGGTAGGTGGTGATCTACTGTTCAGCAGCGAATTTTGCGTGGGGAGAAGAAAAGAACGAGAGCTAAGATTCGCCGTAAACGCTACGGCTAGTGAAAGCGACCGAGTGTCAGTGACATGTGGCTATGACGTTTTTAAAATTCATCCGAGCGGAATACATTACTGTCATGTAGTACGATGACGTATAGACATCAAGATCATACGAACTTATTTTTTTCAAGCTGTTATCATGGGATCTAGATTAAGGCAAGTTATTTCTTCTTCCTGTATAGTATCACAAATTCTATTATAAATTCCTCTTGTGATACATGATGAGCAGTTTCACTCTTACATTGTAATCAAATGATTTTACAATACAGAATATTTCTGCTTTGTTCAACAAAATAAATGTTGTATCTTTCTTTTATGTGTTTGTAAAATTTTTGGAAAAATATGAGCATTTTATGAAGCTAGTATAATCAAATATGATTCATTACTTTTAAAATTGTATTGCAATATCTTCAAAGTTTATAAGCCACATTTTATTAAAATCACATAAACATTGGTATTTTCTTTGATATTTTTAGGGAAAATGTTAAACAACTTTTTGAATGCTTCTGTGAGATAGCTGCACCAATAGGGGAAAAGCCAGCTTGGATACTTCAGAAATATCCCAATTCCTTTTCAGATGAAGAGATACTGAAATCTGTTCCTAAATTTGCATATCCTTGCGAATTTGAAAAGTATGCTAACAATTATCATGTGACTATAAGCTTTTGTTTTCTTATTATAACATTTCTTTTATATTTTTTTATTTTAGCTTGTTGGTACAGCACTTTTCATTCGTGCTCACTAGTATAGATTCAAAATGGACCTTTGGATTCTGTCGACATGATCCCAAAACAGAAACAGCTTTAGTAGTCCTGAGTGCACTCCCGTGGCATGAAACATTTTACAAGTTGGTCAAAATATATTAATTAGAGGTTTACGTGTATTCAAAATGAATCAAAATATTAAATTTTCCATCATAGGCTATTGAATCACATTGCATCCTTGACCAGCAATGCCAGTGGAGAAGATCTCTGGAAGTTTCTTGAGAATATATATACTTGTGGGGTTCCAGTGCCTGGAAACTCCATATCTATCCCTTTACCAAATTCTACAGTGGTAAATTGTTGAAATCTATCATAATGTTATAATTTGTCAAATTGAGAGGTGTATTTAATAGATAATAAGATAAATTTAATGTTACCTTCCTAACACACACATATACATACATACATATATACAACGTTAATCTTTTAATTTCTTTCAAAGCATTAAAAACATTTTATTTCTTTCAGAATTTTGTTTGTCAAAGCCCAAAACAGTTTCAACTACCTAGTATCCCTGAAAATGTGAGTAATTTTATTAACAGCTTGGTGTTGTACAAGTTATATTTTTAATAGTAAAATTAAATATCTTAAAAACTGTGAATTATCTGAATTTAACAGACAAAAATGTTTTAGGCAAAAGTTATATAATCTATAGAGGAATAAATAAATAGTAAAATCAATTTTAAAATTAATTTTTAAATTCACATAAGAGTCATTACTATTTTTTTAATTAAGTTATATGATTTTTTATGATTCCTTTAGTTATATTGATAAAAGTATTAAGATAAAATTAAATTTAAAAATCAATAGTTTACAAAATATTTTATACCTCATTCTAAGTAATGCAATTTGCCATATGCACAATTACAACTTTTTTAAGAAACTTTACATCAATTAATTCATCTTATTCTGTGCGTAAAGATATTAAGGTGTGATTATTAAAAATTGATAGAAATTATTTTTTTATATCAAAATATGCTAAAGTAAAATATCTCGTAAACTTGATTTTTTAAATAATTCTAATATTTTAATACTTATATGCAAAATAATTATAAAAGAATATACAAATAAATAAAAGAATCATATAAAAAAATTTTATTTAAAAAAATGACTTTTGTATGACCCGAAAAAATCAATTTTTTAAATTTTATTATTTTCCTTCCAAAGACAACTTTGTCTAAATATTTTTGTTTGTCGGCTTCTGTTTAAAAAATAGAATACTTTGTATATGAAAATAATTGAGAATTTGTTAAATTAATTTATTAGAAATTTGCTTAGAATATAAAATTGTTATCAAACACCGCTAAATAGTGATTTTATTCTTTCAGAGGAATTTGACTGAATATTATAGTGCTGTAGATTCGCACAATATGATGATGATATTCGCATCTATGTTATACGAACGCCGTATTATTTTCATTTCAAAACGTCTATCGAGATTGAGTGCATGCGTGCAAGCATGCAACGCTTTAATTTATCCAATGATTTGGCAACATATATACATCCCCGTTCTGCCATTGTCATTAATAGATTATTTACTAGCACCTATGCCATTCCTAATTGGAGTGCCTACTCTAACACTTCAGGTATCCATAACAAAAATTTTTTCTTTTGAGAATATGTTATTTAACATTATATATATAATATTTGTATATTTTTTGCAGAAAATACCCAAGAATGATTTAGGAGAAGTTGTTATTTTAGATGCTGATAATAATACAATCGAGTCACCGTTTCAAGATCTAGAGTCTTTACCTCAAGACGTAGTGCGTAAAGCGATATACTGCCATGCCACAATAAGCTAATGTATCCTTAAAGATTAATATATGTTTTAAATGATAAAATAAAAAGTTTCTATATCGCAGGTAACAAATTTGAAGAAAGCGTTACGCAATAGACCAGCTCTTCTTGGAGATGGTGTATCAAGGGCATTCCTGCGAGCATTAGTGCAGTTAACCGCAGGTTACAGAGAAGCATTAACTTTACAGCAGGGTGAACGCATTACGTTTAATCAAAATGCATTTGTTGAAAGTAGACCATCTTCCATGCAACCTTTTTTACGAAAAATGTTGGAATTACAAATTTTCCAACAAGTAAGTGCGTTCTATCTAGATGTAATATAACTACAATTGCTTAATATAATATAATGAATAAATATTCTGGATATTTTCAGTTCATAGAAGAAAGGTTGAACATGCTTAATTCAGGACTTGGTTTCTCAGATGAATTCGAAATGGAAGCTTGCAGTTATTCAGCCAAATCGAGTAGTAAATTTATGCAGCAATATAGGGAATGGACTTACGCGATGCGAAAAGAAAGCTCTGCATTTTTCCGTAGTGTAAAAGATAAGGCATGTTATATTAATATTTCAGTTAGATTGGATAGTATTGTACAGTTTATTTCTAACATTATTTATAAAATAAAATAATTTTTTATTATCCTACTATTTTTAATTGTAGGCCAATCCAGCAGTAAAATATGCAGTTAAATCTGTAAGTTTAAATATAATATATACAGGGTGTCCCATTTTAATCGATCACCTCAAATATCTCTTGAACAGTGCATTTTAGGGAAAAATATTTCAGACAAAAGTTTTGGGACTTCGAGAGAAACATAAGATGATAACATTGGTTTGACCCTGAGTGGCGTCATCAAGACCAGAACAAGGTCACTTTGAATTTCTTAAATGGAATCCCCCATTTTTTTATTACATATTTTTGTAGCACACATCGAGAGCTTTCCAAAACACATAGATAAAATATTTTTTTATGTAATAAATCTTGAGTTATGAAGCTTGAAAGTTGGAGTACCGTCGGCATTAGTATCATCCAATGTATCCGAACACTAGGATCATGATATTGATAAAACATCTGAAGGTCATGACCATTGGAAATTGTTTCTTTTTTTTTTCAAAAAATAAATATAATTTTCAAGAATGAAAATAAAAGCTTTTGAATGAAAATAAAATGTTTAATGGCCTTGATCTTGACATGTGTTGTCTAGGTCATGATCCTGAACAACATTCAAAAGGTTTTAGCCAGTGTTCGGACACCTTGGATAATGCTAATGCCGATGGTACTGCAACTTTCAAGCTACATAACTCAAGATTTATTTAATAAAAAAATATTTTATCTATGTATTTTGGAAAGCTCTCGAGGTGTGCTACAAGAATATGTAATGAAAAATAGGGTTTTTTTTTTTAAATTCAAAGTAATTTTATCCTGACCTTGATGATGCCATTTAGGGTCAAACCGATGTTATCATCTTATGTCCCCCTCGAAGACCCAAAACTTTTGTTTGATCGATTAAAATGGGACACCCTGTATATATTTTTTATATGGCTACGTATATGCTTTGTCTTATTGATATTTTTGAACATTAATCACTTGCTGTCATAGTTATTATTTAATATCTATTGGAATATAATAATATATAATAATAGTTAATGGAAGAATTATGCTATAGAAGTTGATATCTATAGGTGAAAGATAAAGGCAAAGATATGAAAACAGCATATAAAGGATTAAAATGGAAAGGTATGTTTTCGACGTTATTGTAATCTTTATTATTATTATTATATTAAATATTAAATATCTACTTATAAATATTTGTTTGGAGGACAGGACGATCCAATAGAAGCGAAACCAGTATGAGATTTCATCAGCCACGATCGGCTCCTAATTCACCTACATTAGATAGAAGACCTATTGGATTTACATCTCCACCAAAATCTCCAAATGGTGTATCGGCGGCAACTAGTTATCGAAAAGACTTACGTTTGCGGAATAGTAATTTCACTGACACAAGGTATATATAATTATTTATGTCTATTGATTGTCTCTTTATATCACATAATTTATATTCTTATACTACTTCATAAAATAATTCTTTCTATTATTTAAAATGTCATTTTTTAACATAGTTTCCCTGGTTTTTAATACATCATTCTTACAGTTTTTGTATTCTTCAAAAAAAAAACTTGGCTAACCTATTAATATTGTCATATAAACAGAATAAAGCTTTCAGAGAAAGCCAAACAAAGTTTACCTTTATTGAAAAAGTCATTACAAATGTTTGAGAATAGGTATCCTGTAATCAAAAGTCTTGAGGAATACGAAAGCTATCAGAATGATGACACCGGTGTAATTGAAAATCAAGGACTCTATTGAAAAATAATATGACTTACATTGCTAGTTTCTTTTATTTTTTGTATAAACCAGTAAATAGATTTTTTAAGCCCTACAACTTTTGTTTGAAACATTTTTTTGTAAAACGTTTTCCTTCTGAGATAATTCGCCGTCCCGACTTTTTTTGGACACCCTGTATATATAATATATAAGTAATATATTGTATGACATATATAATGGAATTTTATTATTTCATACATATTTTTAATTTATATAAATTTATATTACAGTAGAAAACAATACTCACCTTTAAGTCCTAGTTCTCCTGAAGATTCAGACTCTCCATTGGAGCATATAAATATAGATCTTATGCACGAACTTCGAGATGTGATATTTCCAAATACCCCGCCTGTGGATAGGACGGTAAGTCTTTCATAACTTATATATACACTATATTTATACATTACTATTTTGTGATTTGCACAAAGATTTGGACAATATTATTAGTTACCGAAAACGATTTATCTACATAAATTGAGTATTGTATCTTTATTCTTTTATAATTGCACATATTTTCACGCTTTCAATTCTTGATTGTAGCAAAGAATATTTAACAATATAAGCAAATTTGATCCAATGCTAATTTTTTCATTAATAAATTATCTGTTTGTCGTGCTTTAAGCATATAAATCTTTGTTGCTTTTTGTGAATCGTTTATTTATGTCTTTAACAAGCGATGGATCTTATCATTTATGTCCATTATTAGGAGAAAAAATAGTTGTATACAGCATGTTTTCAACAATTATGTGAAATATTAGAATATGCACAGTGTCCAATTTGTAAGAAAATATTCTGCATGTTTATACCTACTTGAATTATTCTTGGTTACCTTAGTTTTTGTTATCGGCATCACTTTGTAATGTTCTCAATTTTTTAGCTATTATTATATAAGTCATTTAAATATGTATCTGACTTGATAATTACTTCAAACTAGCTTAATAATATCTGTTAGTACATTAAAGACATTTTTTACAAATTATTAATATTAATTGTTTTATTAAATGTTTATCCATCTTATGTTATGCATCTCTGTACAATTAAATGTAATAGCACACAATTCTGACTGGTAATGATTCTAACAAAGACAGATTCTCAACTCGAGAATTCAAAAAAGTTATAAAACTATGGCAGTATATCAAGAACATGTAATAATATTTTTTTTTTGCTGTCTGAATTCACTATGAAGGAATAATGTCAACCTCTAGAACTCCTGGCACATTTTTCGTTTTTATTTTATTATTTACAAAAAGAAAAAGAAAAAAATGTTTTTTTAATGAGATTACATTATTGATTAGAAAAATTGTCAGTTGTTTAAAGAATTTTAATTACAAAATTTGATTATATCTGTCATACACTGCTTCTGTCATTCTTCTTACTTATTATATATATATATATATATA